AATGAGGGGAACAGCCTCGTGAGAGAAGCCCCCAGACCAAGGGAAAGGCTGGTCTGAAGGAAGCGCTGCAACGCTCTGTGAGCAGCTCCAGACCACACAGAGAAGCTGCTCTCACCGCAACACGCCGATGTCGCTGAGGCCGGTCGCTGAGGCCGCGTGTCCACAGGGGCAGCCCGGAGACCCGCCACAGGAGCACTCTGGGCAAACTGCTTCAGATCTGAGTTTCTGTTGGTTCTAAATCACCTGATCGGAGGGTGAAAAAGATTTCTAGTCTCTTTCTTTCCTCCTGTTCTTTTTTACTTTAAAAGTGGGAACCGGCAGTTCCACCCAAGGCACCAGGAGACACACGCACACTACAGCAAAGTAACCTCAGTCCTGACTTGAAACTAGTGCAGGGAGTTCAGTAAAAGTGGGTGGAAACAAACCGAGCATTTCCTTCCCTCCTCAGGGAGGCCAAGGGGGAGGCCCCTGTCCCTGGAATATCCCCATCAGTGGACAGTGGCCTTTATGATTTTGGGTCTTTGCTTTAAGTCACAGGGACAGTTTTCCCTTTGCTACCTCTGTAAATGTAAATTCCTGCTGTCCCAGGAAATTCTGCAATTCCTCCACAGTCTGCTGAACGCTATGACGAGTGGTGCAATCATATGACCCAGCAATTCCACTCGCAGCTACAGGCAGAATATAGGAGCTAGGAGGAGATTTAAGGGGCTGGTCACATCCGTCCATCCTGGTCAACTGTCACCTATGTGATCTCAGCCAAAACCCAATCCTTCAGCCTAAAATGATTCCTCTGGGCTCCAAAGCTCCACCCGCACACAGAAGTGCAAAGTCAAGGTCACAGAGGAAGCCTACACAGGCAAACCAAGGGATGGAGACAGCAACCAGTGTACCAGAGACTGCAGAGTCACGGAGGTAAACATGAGTAAAAGAACGGAAGGTGAGAACAAAGAGCTGAAGACATTGGGCCCAGAATTCCCTGAAAGCGCTAGACTTCTCAACTTTTCTCCACTCCTCTACCTGCATATCTAGTAGACTCTCTAACCTGTCCAAATGCAATCTGCCCTATCCAAACCTGTGAGAGCCGGGCAGCTCCACCTCCCAGCTGCCCTGCCGGCAGTTCTCAGCGCTGCCCCAGCCCCTCTTCTACTCCACCCAATCCTCCACAAGTCCTGCTGGCCCTTCAAAAAAAAAAGGACACCCAGGGGAATGCAAACTGCTCTGGCCACTATGGAAAGCTGTGTTCCTATTCAAAGTAGAGCAATCATATGACCCAGCAATTCCACTCCTCAGAATCTACCCAGAGAACACAAAAACATTAATTCAAAGGAAACCTGCATCCCTATGCTTACTGCACCAGTATTTGTAATACATCAGATTTGGAAACAACTAAATGCACAAAAATAGGTGACTGGATCAAGAAAATGTAGTGTATACACACTGGAATACTATTCAGCAATTAAAAAGATAAATGCATGTCAATGGCAGCAATAAGAATGAAGCTGGAAGTGATTATGTTCAGTGAAATAAGCCAGAAGGAAAAAAAATATTGGATGGTTTCACTTATAGGAGGAATACAGGAGAGGCAAATAAGGGATCAGGATACCATGTGAGAGGAAAAATCAAACATTATACAAAAATGAACAATGATGTTGTGTACACACACACTTTTTTTTAATTAAAAAAAAAAAACGCAAATCTGCACATAGGGCCTAGGCACTGTCATTTCCTGCCTGCATTAGGGTGGCAGACTCCCAATGGGTCTCCATTTGCCCAACCTGCCCCCATATAAAGCCAGTAGGTCCTCCAAGCCACCTCATCTTCAATCAGATCAAGTCCCGCCTCAGTTTCAAACCTTTCCATGCCTCTCCAGTTTACTGAGTAAAAGTTTTCCAACAGCCCAGAAGAGCCTATGCTCCTACTTAGCATGTGGTATACAGTATGAGTACAGTGTGAAAGTATTCAGAAATTTTAATAGAAATTTTTAAAAAATGTTTTTAAAGATTTATTTATTCATACAGAACTGGGGTACAGGCCAGATGTACAGGGAGGTGAGAGGATTCACCAGAGACAGCATGGGGAGCAGAACAGGAAGATCGAGGAAGTACACTGCTGAGGGCAGCAGAGGGCGGGTCAGGAGAGGTCTGCAGCGCCGTGTGGGTCACCTCCAGGGCAGGGATCAAACTCACGCTTAAGTGGCTGTTGCTTGCTTGCAGTGCTGCGCTTTAATCTGCTGGGCACCAGGAAAGGCCCGCAATTTAATAGAAATTTTAATAGCAATCATTGCTTAATAGCCCAGCAGATATAAAAGCACCAATATGGGATGGATTAGGAATTCAAAGAAACTCCCTGCTGGAGAGCTGAGAAATGGGCCTACACTTCTCCAGTCGGCCCTCAGCCACCTCCCACCTGAGCTCAGCTGCCACACTTCCTCACTCATTTCCAGTCACTCCGCTGTCTTCCTGCTCTGCACGCATCTGAGCACACTCCCACCTGGTGTCTGCACGCTCTGCCCTCTGCCTTCCAGACCCTCATCACAGAACTCACCCCTCCTTCAATCTTTGCTCCAACGTCACGTTCTCAGTAGGCCTGTCCTGACATCTTACAACCTGACATCTTATTTTCACTCTTCCCATTAGTATGAAGCCTACAGGAGATAGGAAACATTGCTTGTGCTTATTTAGCACAATACATACTTGTTGAGTGAATGAGGAGATGGGGAAGCTCAGAGAACAACTGGGGTGAGCTTCCCAGATAAAATCTGGTACAGAGCCCTGAGGTGGACATTAGCAGACCTGAGCTGGCAGAGGGCAATCAAGGCGCACAAAGGGCGTGGCCTATCAGGTCACAGACTCAGGCTGGCCCCTGAAAGTACCTTGGGATCTAAAGGTACTTTACAGGACCCGGCATAATTTCTGTGATCAGGGTAATAGCTATAAAGATGTAGACTGGATAAGGACAAGAAAGCTGGCAGTGAATTAAGGCCATGGAACTAGAGAAGGACAGAATGTGAGCGAGTTCCAAGATCCACTGATGTACGTGGGAGGTGAGAGGGAGGGAGGAAAAAAAGATGGATATGGCACAGGAAAAAAGTTCTCCTCCAACATCAAGATCACTAAGGTTCAGCACAACAGCGGAGGCAGAAAAACCTCCTGCTGTGCATGTCTCGCACGAAGGGGCTTTTTAGGCGGTCTGCCTCCAATCCCCAGAGCGCCGAGGTCCTCAGTGTGTCCTCACAAATACCTCCCCAATCACAGCTTGCACTGCACAAGATCATCTTCTGAGGGCTGGTCTCACTCTGACTTCTCCACTGCTGGACTCCAAGCGGGTACGTTCAACGCACGATCTCCATTATGCATGTATTAAGCACTTACCTGACACTCAACACTTTGGTGTTTAGAAAGGACAGAGAGAAAGGACAGGGTCTTGCCCCATCCCCCAACCCTCCATGATAGGGAAACATGAGACAAAGAGGAATGCACACATGAAACAATTATAGAGTAAAAGATGACCCCACATAACATTTGTCTGCACAAATTCATGAGATTGTCAAAAACTTGTCTGAAAAATCATTTTTATCCTTAATTCCTAATAGTAGAAGGAGAACAGAAATCCATATGGACTGCATACCTCAAGCAACCTGTCAGATGCATGTGTATGGGGGAAACACCTGAGTAGAAGGAACCACGTGGACAAAGGTACAGAGGAAAAACTAGGTAGTGGGTCCAGGTGGGAGAGAGAGGGAGGAGACTGGCAGGTGTATGAGGCTTATTTGGGTCTGATTTTAATACGCAAATAACCAGGAAAGTCAACTGCCACTTAAGAGAGTTTGAAAGCCAGGTAAACTCTACGTAGGATTAACCACAGAAACTCAAAAACCGAAACTCAAAACCGACCATGTTAATCACTAAGTCGGTAGTACCTTTAGGGGAATAATGGGAACTTTATGGAAATAGACCCAGAACGTGTTGGGGGCAGTATAATTCCATGCCTTTGGGTTATCCTTGTGAACACTCTGACCTCTTCCCTACAAAATCCTGTCGGAAGTGGTAGGGAAAGTTAAGGGTGCAAAGGAAAATATCCCAAGAGCTAAATATAGCGATCAAACAAATGCCCAAGTCAAACAAGCTGTAATATTAATGAGGCATGAATGAACTGTTTCCAGGGCTGAGTAAAAGCTGGCCACCTCATCCAGGAGTCACGCTGAGATCCAAAAATGTCACTTCTAGGTAAGGGAGATGAGGACAATTGTCTTCCCAATGGCAGGGCCCCACTTGGGACAGAAGGCAGTTTAAACTGATAGCACCTTCTCATTAGGCACAGTGCAAATCTGTTTTCAGCTTAACCTGCAACAGTTACAGGCTCTGACCAGGATACATTATTAATTAGTTAAAAGAGAAGCCCCATTTTTAGTTACCCATTGAATTAGGTATCTTCAAACACTGACCTAGAATTGACAGTACAGCTAACTCTCTGTTTACCACGGTAAAGGGAATTTTAGGAAGGATGGAGTTAATTGAGAAGCAAAAACAACCCTATTTTGTACTCAACAAAACACGTGTCACTGCATCAAGGATAGTGGCCTCCAATGACTATCCACCAAGGCCCTCAGGATCACCCGCCTTTGCCGGATTTAAACCACACATTTCTGGCTCAACAAGCCACATGGCTGGACCCTCCACTCTTCCTGGGTCTAGAAGACAGGAGAGTAACCCCCAGTGTTCAGGGTCGGAAGAGACAGGGAGAGCATGGCCAGCCCGCCTGTGCTTCACCAGGGAGCAGCTCCCCTACCGAGCCTTCAGCAGACTTCCAGAGAATAGTGTATGATGGTATGAGGGCAGCGTGGTAAGGCCACGGGCTCCTGGGAAGACAGGCTCACCGGAGCTGGGACCGCAAGGTCCAAAGGGAGACAGGGAGAGAGTTGGCTGTACTGACATGACAAGTACACCCCCAGCAAGCAGCCCAGCATTTCTAGGAAGGAGAAAAGCAAACCGCCGTCCCACCTCGGGCTGCGCGGTCACAAGTGAGGCAGGGCTGGGGCCAGTCGCCATTTGGGCGGGAGGCCAGCCCCAGGTGCGGCAGGCAGGGGTGGCGCTGGCTCAGCGGCTGCAGCTCCTCGCTCTGACCCAGCGGGGCCGCTGTGCGGTGCTGGGGGCACAGCGAGGCCTCGGGCGCTGTCGGGTAGGGACACACACACACACAGAGAGAGACACTCCATTAGAGGAAGAGGGAGCGGCAAAGGTGTACGCCAAGGCTGATGCCCAGAGAGCCTGAAGGGAGCGGCTGTCCACGGCACAGCCTGGCCCTGAGCAGGCAGCCTGAGCTCAAGTCTGAGGGAACCAGAACCCGTCAGGCCAGGGCCATGGCAGCAGCCGCCCACCAGTGAAGTGACAGACACCTGTGCTGGAAGGACCCTGGCCAGACTCCCAGGCCCTCACAGCCCAATATCACCTCTGCACTAGGAACACACCAAGAAACACTGATGGGGCAGGACGCTATAGCAGCTCCTCACTTTGCTTGTCCTGGTTTCTCAAGAATAATGACAGCAAAGGGCAAACTAACAGCAAAAGCAGCTCCATGATCACAGCTACTTCCCAGAGAGGAAGCCAAGGCAGCCAAAGACCAACTCAAACCGCAGGGAGCTTGAGGGGTGGAGAGAGATTCCTTGAGAAGAATAAACAGCTTCACTTCTTAAAGGGCAATCTTCATTTTCTGATACAGTCCAGCCCAGGAGACTTCTGGAGATCCGGGTTACAATGCTTTCCAAGCAGTCTCACGAAGGTCATGACCTTTACTTATTTAACAGAACAATTCAGACTAAGAGGGAGAACTGACAATAACTAAAAATGGGATAAAAACTAGAAAACCCCCGCTCCAAACTTGATAATAACTTAAAATTCCTAGAGGCCCAAAGTCAGACTTTAATATGCAAATTCTCCTATTTGACACATTTCTCAAAATTCAAACTGAAACCTGCAAAAGTAGGAAATGTTACACTACGTGGTCTGGTAATGGAACCACTGACTAAGCCAGGGCTGATAGGGTGTGTCAAACTACACACAACTTCCTTTAAAACTTTTTTTTTTCTGTTATGCTGACACAATTTACCAATTCCAAAAAAGAAAGGGTACAGCGACCCGTATTTTTGTTTTTGGACAGAAGGTACAGCTTCTGCATGCTGCCCCAACTGACCCCAAGGGCAGGCAGGCCCACCTGTCTCTACACCGCACTGAAGGCACAGGGCCAGGCTGGGGCGACTGGCCAGGAAGCCACCACGGCCCCCAAACCAGCTTCGCCAAGCCTCAAACTGCCCGTCTCAACAATGGGCAAAGACCCTGGGTGATCTGATGTGCAAAAAAAGAGAATAGGGCAGCCCCGTCCAGCCCCAGCCATACAACCAAATCACTAAGAAAGCTGGGCCACATGCTGGTCAGGAAGCCTGCAGAGGATTGTGCCTTCTCCCTCTTAAAGTAGGACAGTGACATCCCTTATCTTGCCATCCGTGATACTGAAGTAGAATAAACACAGCCAGTCAGAAGACCTGCAGCCCAGTCATTAGAAAAGCATTTAATATGAGATTAAAGCAACAGGTTATCAAGGAAGAGCACTAGTTTTCTCCTCCCGAGGCGAGGCAACGCTCCACTGCCTGTGCAGCAAGCCAACTCTTTCACTACAGCCTCTCCTATGGGAAGCAGACAGCCGCTCTCCGTGCCTGCCTTTTACCTATGGGCCAGCCCTATCCAGTTGTATGGAATCACACCACCATGCAACAGAAGGTCTCAAGACCTCCAAGCCCAAGCGGCCATGGGGCCAGACGCCCCTTTGTAAGTATGAGTCGATGCAGACCAACGACACTGCTGTCTGCAATGCCAAAAGCTGAGAATGAAGAACAGAGGCAAGCTCTCCCCAGCCCACGGGGAACCCACCCGACCTTTCTCCCAGCACTGCTGCACTCAGCGGCGCTCTGGCAAGGGATAGGGAGTGCTTCCACTACTCACATCCATGGTAGGAGGCAGGTGATCCCCCGGCCTTGCCATACTCCTGCTCTGAATAGCTGGTGGAGAGGTTGGGCTGGCTGGAGCCTCGGCCAAAGGTGATCTGGTTACTGCCCATGCCAGTGGCAACCTGGGCCATGCGCTCTTTGGTTTTGAGAGCCTGGGCCCTCTCAGCCTTCAGCCGCTCCTCATCTTTGAGGAGGGCCACCAGCTGCTTTGATTTCTCACGTACATTGATGCCCTGGTCCTTGCCGTCACGGTCGATGTATTGGAAGTCCTTCAAAGTCTGGATGGCAAAAATGTTCTCACGGCACTGCTGGGCCACCCGCTCAGAGCCCGTCTTGATGAGGTAGTCCAGCAGCGTCAACGCCTTGTATACATGCCGCCAGTTCTTGCCATGGTCATTGAGCCGCTTCCAGACCATGCTCATGATCTCTGAGAAGGCCACCACATTGTAGGTCAGATCTGCGATCTCGGTCATCAGAGAGCTGGACGGGCCCCATGGATCATTGGACGTGGCTTCCCGGACCTTTATTTCGGCTTCTGAGTAATTGTTCACAATATTTTTCATCTGCCGTCTGATAGACGAAGTCGTCATCTTTTATCTTCTTGGCTGTAATGTGGAGCCCTTCAAAAAGAGAAACTTTCCCGTCCTGGGCAAGTTGGAGCCCTGTGAAAGTTCAGTCTCTGCAACAGATCTGGAGGAAGATCCCGGACAGTCATTTCCTCCACTGGAGACTCAGGTCTGGGAAGGGGAAAGCCATTACCTAGAGAAAGAAAAAACACTAACTGTGCCATGAGCTCCCCAGGACCACAGGGCATTTCTGTGAACAGCAGCTACTGGGAGTTAGGGGACAGCACATGGACATACCTAGCCTCCCTAAGAGGGAAGAAAACACCGTTCTTTGAAAACTACAATAAAATCAACACAGCAAGGTAATAAAATTTAAACTCAAAATTTAAGTCTTTAGAAGGAAAGTAGCAAATATCATGACTGTTTCGATGTCCAAAATACTTCCACAGAATAGCCTTTTGGATTGTAATTGCCCTGCATGGCAACAGCCAGCTACAGAAGAACCCTAATACTGGGGCTGAGTCAGTCTGACAGATTTTAAATTACCTGTGGGATCAAGAAAGCCTCTCATTTCAGGTATATCTTAACCCCAAAATGCTTAGCTACACCTTTAAAACTACTCAACATTTGGCTTTGGTCTACTGTGCTTCTAACTCGCCAAGGAATTTTCTGTGAGCCTCATTTTCTCCTGACAGTTGATAAAAGTTTTAGACTACTCCTTAGAATACAGTTAAGGCCATCCACTGGACTTTCAAAAATCTGCAGCATCTGGCCTGAGATAATACAGCCTTAAAAAAAATCTGTTTCTAGCTTAATCCCCTCAATTAAGGCCCAAGGTTAAACATTAAAGGGTCATGCCTGCCCTATGCCACAAATACAACTCTCCAAAGGAGAACATTTAGCATGCTGGAGAGAGGTCCACATCTCCAACAATGGGCTCTGGTCCAAGAGTTTGGGAGCCCCCACTGGTATGGCTTACCAGTGAACACTTAGCGTTGTGCCTAACACTGATCTAGCACTGCTGAATAAACTGATGAAACATTCAGAACAGGGTCCATGTCCCCAGTATGGTAAAAGAGCATAGGGGACTGAGGATGACAAATCAGACATGGGAAGGACTCTGCCAGAGATGATCCTTACTCTGACCTTTAAAACTGAGGAGACCTGAGTAGGTAGGAGAGAAGAGGTTGTATGGTTGTTCCTCACTTATGAAAATGAGAACACTGAGTTCCAGGAGACTTCAGGACTGTCAAAATGAATGGGGGCTGGGGTCTAAACACAAGGGAAGGGCTCCCCATCACTATCACCCATACCCCCACCTCCCACTGCAGCCTTCTAGGCCTCACAGGCCCCACTAAACTTGTAAAGGCGCCATGGCAGCCTTAGGCCAGGATCTGAGTCATTTAATGCTTAAGAAAACTCTCCATGTAAGGATTATTTTTCCTATGCTCCAGAGGGGGACCCTGAGGGCTGGGATCCCCAAGTCAGCTGACCAGACACCCAGCTGGTACTCTCCTCCTTATGCAGCACCCCATGCAACCCAAGGCCAGACCACTATTATGCTCCTCTAGAGAAACAATGGATAAGCCCCCAACGTCCTCATCTAAAGCCTCAACTGGGTAACAGGGCACATCAAAAAATAACCAAGCAAACAAAAGCAGGGGTCATGGGGAGTTACAGGAAACTCAATGATCACTCATCACATATAGCCATACGTATCAGAGGCAGCTTAGCAAATTTCATCTTGGTGACAACAGACACATCTGCTCAAGCCAACAAGGCCTTTATTCCACCCTCAACTATGCCAAGAATTCTGTCTCCATCTCAAGTCACAGAACCATGCTTCCACAGACAGCAGGCATGTTCTGCCTCTCCACCAATGCGACCAGCCTTCATAAATCCTCTAACACTTGTCAAAGAACAAAGGGTTAAACACTTGTGCAATGACCTGCACATCTGACACTTAACAAGTTTTCCTTCCTAACAAAAATCACTGCTAGCAGAAATGGAATGCACCTGGAAAAGGAAAAAAGAACACTTTGATTTTTAATGAGCATTTCCCAAATACTCACCAAAAGCAATAGTAACATTCAGATATATTTAGTACCTAGAGCCCTTGTGACGTGCCTGGGACCACGGACACTCCATTTGTCATTCTACCCGGTACATGGCACCTCTCAAAAGAAGCAAGAGGAGGTATTCTGCCACAACCCTCCAGGTCAAAACCAGCTTCAATCAGGCAAGAGAGACAACAGTCCTGGTGAAAAAGAGACTGCAATGGCTGAATACAATATAATTTTTTTTTTCCTGAGGGAGAAATGATGCCCCAGACCCTGCTCCACTCCTCTTCTCTAGCCACCCTGGGCCTCTGGCTGACTTGCTGTCCCGGGGAGAGCTGTGAGGCTGGCCAGGGCACCCACCAAACCACCTAGTCCTTTGGCAGCAAACTAAAAGCAGCGGCTCTTGCGAGTGAGGGCGCAGGCTCCGGACTCACAGTCACAGGCTGAAGGGAACTCCGACTGGGGCAGAGGCTTTCTCTGACAGGGTCACCTTGCAAAGACATCTGGCAGTCTCTGAAATATTTAGGCTTTGAGAAGGGAAAAATCTAAACATAGTAAAATGTTTGCTATAGTAAGAAAAAATATATATATAAAATGAACAAATAATTTGAATGACTACCATTTTTATAAAAGATAACAGGCAAAGACAACTTTCAGGACCAGCAAACTTAGAGAAGGGCAATACGTGGGGATAAGAAATTCCTGAGAGGAGAAAGGACATCAAAGGCACCACCAAGAAACTATCTTCAAGACCACTGGGCTACATGCCTCACCCCAGACTCTGTGGACTGAACCTTCCCGCCTGACCATGAGGGACCTGGCCACACGAGAGGGCTGCACGAGGCTCTCCCGGGCTGTTCACCTTACACGCGGACCTCTGTGATCACACTTGTCCACGTTGACCTCAGTCCTCATCCCCTCATTTTAAAACTTCTCCCTCTCGACTTCAGGATTAAACTGTAAACACTTAAAACATCTTCCGTCCCAGCAAACATCTTCCTGGCGCTCCCTCCCAGAAGCAAAGTCCCAAATACATACCATCCTCAAGTAATCATCCGGAGTAATTTCTAGAATCTGAGGTTAGTTTTGTTCCCATTCCTTTTTTTTTTTCTTTTGAATACTTTCCTTCTCAAAATTTGCCAGTTTTCTTCCATTTCTAACTTGCTGAGCCTGAGCTGAGGTACAATCATAAGCAACTAAAGCAGCATTATTTGCTACTGTCTGGGTTCTTCAATCAAGCCTGTGGAAATGTGGTCAGTTCACAAACACCCAATCATTTACTGAGGACTCTAGGCCAGACACGGGGAAAGGGGGAGCAGAGGAATGTCAAACAAAAAGGAAAATTAAACTTCATTAAAGTTTTAGAAGAAAATGTCAAGGAGGGGCCCTCCCTGGTGGCGCAGCGGGTTAAAGCACTGCACTGAGAAACTAAAGCCACCTCCGCATGAGTTCGATTCCCACCTGCCCCAGAGGCGACCACATGGCGTGGCAGACCTCTCCTGACCCGCCCGCTGCTCCCCTCAGCACTGTAATTCCTCGATCTGCCTGTTCTGCTCCCCACTCTGTCTCTGGTGAATCCCCTCACCCTCCACATCTCTGGCCTGTACCCCAGTTCTGTACGAATAAATAAATAAATCTTAAAAAAAATAATAGAAAAAAAAAAAGAAAGAAAATGTCAGGGGGAAGGGGCAGGATTTATGACTTACATTTTTCCTAATTTCCTAAATTACACACTGAGAACTGAAGGGACAAATGCCACTCGAGTACCACTACCTGGAAATGCTTCCTGAAATCTAGCTATATCATCAGGTATTACATACAACTGTTTTTTTTTATTATTATTATTACAAAAGTTTATTTTTACATCATTTTGCACATTTTTTTTTCCCATCTCGATTGTAATCCCCGCGGGTTTCCCATCACCAAATCACCCGTGTGCCACCATCATAGTCCCGTGCATTTCCCTCCCCTCCCCCCCCCCCCCCCCTGTTTTTGATCCCATTCCCCACTCCACCCCCACAACATGTCTCTGGTATATGGTTGTTACATACAACTGTTTTATAAGGGGTAAATTAAGCAGGTGAGTTTGTACAATGCTGTTACAACTTTAAATATTTTTGAATGGGGGCAGCAAAATTATTTCAAGTTAGAATTTACTATTATTATGCAAAGCTAATAAATATTTCTGTATCTACCAAGAGAGCTAGACTGGGAATTGGAAAGGCCCAGACAAGTATTTATTTCCTTGGGTGAGATGACTCCCAGCGATAACCCCCACATCTCTCCACACCCACACCAGTCCTGAAAAATCTGTTTTGAAATTGTATTAATTACTAATTCATTTTATTAAGAATCAGGGCTTCTGGTGTATATGCAAAGCCACAGATAACCACACTGAGTTGACAATTCCAACCAACACCACAGAAACTGAACATATCAGATAGCTGGCCTCGGTGGGGCACTCACCATGGGCAATGCACATCATTCCTGTCAGTTCTTTCCTAAGCCTTAGGAACTCTGGAGACTCCTCATCAAACCCAAAGCAGACTCAGAATAGAAAGGGATACACCTTCCAAGATTAGTCCCCAATACTAACACCTGCTTAATTTACCCCTTATAAAGAAATTTTTATTTTTAGCCTGGAAATGTTGATAATCTGCTGTTTTTACCCATATCCTCTTATCTCAGAAAGAAAGATCCTCCATCTTCTGAGAAAGAAATGACCAGCAACAGGCCCACTCCAGGCTTAGCCCATCAGCACCATGAGCCTATCCCCCAAACCACAGTGGCTTCCTCACTCCACCCACAACTCCTCCCCTCCGGTGGCTAAATCAAGGGCAGACTGACAACCCAGACTGGGCTATCGAGATCTCTCTGAATGACCCCGAAACTACCGGGCAAGCAGCAGGCTTGCTAAGCTGTGTAAGTCACAGTTTACCTAGGTTTGAAGTCAACAGAGAAGCAAGCAAGGAGTCAAAATAAGGAGAAGGAACAGGCACAACATGGCTTGAACCACTGGCCCACCAGTACTTGAAGCCCTGTACTTTATTCCCTGACTTCTCAGCTGCACATCCACGCGTCATGGTGACCTACAGCAATGAGTGCTCTTGTCACATGCAACAGTGAGCCCTGG